AAACTCCAATCTTGAATGTAATATTGTCTAACAAAGCATCTCTTCACAAAACATGATGCTACTCTCCTCAAAATAATAAAAGGAAGAGGCCTCACAAAGTTTAGTTAATTCTTTAAACTACTAAAGGATGCTTAACATGCAAAAATCAGGGGGTTCTTTGTCAAACTTAATAAATTAAACCAGTTTCTTGAAAAACTGGGTATAAATGAAAGGGATTTCACGTAATTTTTCCTTGAATAAAGAGAACAATACTAGATCAAGGTATAACCATTTCCTGTAAATAGTGGTGAAATTGTTTTAGTATTATGTTAGATAGATTGAACTATCTTGCAAATCCAGGTATAAATGAAGCTCTTGCAATTTTCCCTCCATTAAAGCCGATATATATGTTGGACAAAGGTATGAACATAAAATCATTTTCTGCGAAATAGTGACAAATTGTGTTAGATTGATAGAATTACAAGTAAAATGTACAAGTGAAACAGTCTTCACTTACTTGATTCATGGTTATTTGGTCCAGCTGAATGCGAGCATACATATCATCTTTTGCTAAAGCCATAATGTCACTGCATGAAAAGAAGACATATTTATTGATGGTCAGGATGCGTAGAAAAAATCAAGAAAGGAACAATACAGGATGTAAGGTCTTTAGCAAACAATTCAGAATGCATTCATATAGAAAGCCCCATTGCTCGTAATGGTAACATGGGCAGAAAATTCCAAACAACAATTTACAGGCATTTAGACTTTAGAATTAAGCCAAGACAGGTTTGGCTGGCCGGCCAGGTATGATTAAGGAAAAAAGGATACGAATAACTAGTAAGAAACATTATGTACGGCTGACAATGGGTAAGAGTAAATCCATAGTTTATAGGCAAGGGTATACACCTGTTTATTGACAAGTATGAAATTTTCTTACCCATTGGTATGAATGGACATGGAAAGGGTAAGGGCTTTATATTTTACCCTTTTACCCGTTTATATAAAAATATAATAATATAGTTAGAATTTTCTTTTTTTTTAAATAAACATATCAGCAAAATACTACTGCTAAAGGGGAACCTTGTTTACACATTAACAGGACATATAGGTAAGTACCTGCGAGAGTATACATCGATTAAAGATCCGCTGCCATCCACTACCGGAATGGAACTTATTCTACCTGGAAAAAAAGAAGAACGGAATAAGTACAGTGTCCATACATGTATATTATTAGTGCGCCAAAATATCTTGACAGAGAACAGAACAACTTAACTCAGCCAAAGGGGAAAAAACAAGGATTGATAGTGAATCATGCATGAAATAATAACGAAAGGATTGTACAAGTCACTAGAATCCAATTTGATCAAACAAGAAACTGAGGTGACAATAAACAAATATTTTGATGTAATACTTAATAAACCTACATAAATCCAATAATCAAGTCTGAGATAGGAAATCCTTCACGGGAACATATAGAATTCCTCTTTTGATACATAAAGACCCTAGTAGAATGTTCCAGCAAATTTAATAACGAACTTTGAACTTTGATGAATTGATACTGTAATAATTTAATATTTTTTGTACTTGCATAGGAACCTAATTATTAAATTAAAGTGTTGCATTAGCTCTCCAATCTTATGGTTGCCCTCTGTATATCCAACTCCCTAGTGTTTAAAACTTATACACCCCCATTTCCTTTTATTATGCGTGTATGTGCAGACATATGTGTATAGGGAGATAGACGATCTTGAAATAACAGATAAAATAGAAAGGACAACTACTCTTCAGAGCACGAGGTACCTTTTAGTAGCAAATCAAGAGCAGAGCTCAAGGAGGCATTCTGCTGCAACACTGCTAAATGATGTCCACTACCTCTGCCAGTCTCTGGCAACCACGTGCCAACAGGAATCCTACAAACTGGATGCTGTAGTATAGGCACTGAACCTACAACCTCTCCCAAATGGCACGTAATGTCTGGATATTAAAGATACAACATTAACTGTCAATGATATTCAAATTTATAGGCTAAATGTTAAAGTAGGTAATGTGATACATAGATGTACATTTCAAAATTACAGGAAGGCTCGCGACATTCAACAATGGCATGCATGAAGAATCTGGCAGCAAAGATCTGAAAATAGGAACTGCTGATATCTCATTGTGCAAAATCTTAAGAGCTACATCTTTCAGACAATCCTGATCTGAGACCTTCACAAGGAAAGTACCAAAAGATGAGTAACTAAAAAGCTTCAAAGAAAATCTAAAACCAGGCACTCGACAGACAGTCAGACTAACATCACAAGCATGCTTGGAGGATGCTATCATTAATACAACCATGTTGACTACAAAGAAAAGCAAATAATCAATATTATGAAAATAAGATAAAAGGAAGTTGCTAAGAATACAACCTCAACAATCAACAAAAGATTGCCTTATGCATTATATTATATAAGAAGACAAATCCCAGCCCAACAAATGTAAAAGATAAATAAAAGAGCAATGTATGGTTTATAAGAGACTGAAAATTCAAAGGATAACACAAATTATTAGCTACCTAAGTGATTGAACAATCATTTCTTCTTATTCTCATAATTTCCCATATACGATATATCCTATATGCATCCAAAGTTGGTATAGAGATATACATTACGAGAGAAAACAGACATTATTTGAGGTCTGGAGCATGACTGTGATTATGGTTTGAGAGGCTAGACAATTATACTCGTCGCAATTTGACTAGTGATTACCCATTACCCGTGGAAGCAAAACCAAGGCAAAACCACCATTATAAGTCACGGCAGTCTCCATGTTTTCTCACGTCTCTTTTTACTAGATATTTTTTGTGCTTGTGCTTCAATAAATTTATGTAATAGGGGGTTTGATATAACAAGGGTATGACCTGTTGATGCAGCACAGGTCTAGATCTGACACGGATGAAAATTTGATTAGGATTTTAACTTTTTCAGTAGAATTTGATTTCATTCTATATAATCTTCTATTTTACTTAGGATTTCTTTAAGATTTAATTTTTATATCTCTTTCTAGTTTAGGTAGGATTCTATTTGATTGCATCTTGTACTTGTGTTAGGATATGATTGGATAGGATTTTGATTTGCTTCCTTTAGATATAGGTGCTCTTCTCTACAATAAATAAGATGTAATCCTCCATGAGGAATAGACCATTGATGAATAAAATTTGAGTTATGAAGATTATTGAGCATATGAATTAATGGTTCTTTGTAGGTGAATTGCCTCCTCTGCTGTGAAGCCTATTATTTAGGCCCTTAGGTGTGAAGCCTATTCTTTAGTGGCGTATCAAGCCCTTAGGTGTGAAGCCTATTCTTTAGTGGGGTATCAAGCCCTTAGGTGTGAAGCCTAAGCTTTTGTCGGGTGCGAAGCCTATTTATCTCAAACCTCTTTTCTTTTAGTTATCCCGCGTTCAAATTGGAGCCATTGCCGCGTCCCCTTCCACCTATGCTTTTAAAGATATTAAGATGATTAAATGAGAGGGATGACAGTAAAATGTGTAGTAAAGACCAAGGAGGCAATTTCGGAAGACTTTTACCTTGAAAATTAATAAGATAGAAATTGCTGAAATAAAAGAAAGAGGGAAGAAAATATTATGTTCTCATTGATATGAATAAGAGGTTATAACCAATATTTATACACTTTATAGAATCATTGTAAAAGTAAAACTCTAATAAGAAAAGGAAATGTATAATAGAGGAAAGTCCTAAGTTGCAGGTAGACATCTTCATATAAGGCAACCAATAATATGAGATCTTCGAATGGAAACTACCTATAGGGATCAATGATACGAAGAATTAAGATAAGTGATGTCATTCTCGCACACATATCTTCAATCAGACCAAAGACAAAGTTATCTACGTGTTTTCTTGTAAATGTAAATTTTGCTTATTCATGTTTATGTTTGTGTATGTGTATGGGCAAGCATGTCAAGAACAATCATGAAAAAAAAAATATTAAACTAATGGTATACGTTACAACTTCTAAAGGTTGTACATATCACACTTCAGATTTATGTCAGGTTGTATCCAATGTGGGGACATGAGTGTTTTCATAATTGTGGCTAGTCTTATGGTTATCGGATCTCTCTACACTGTCTCTAGTAAAAATGCAAGCTATGAAAGAGAGTCGTTAATTGCTTAGTTAAGAAAAAAGGGGGTTGGATTACTTGCTAGTAGAAATTGATTATATCCAGGTTTGTCTTGTGAGTTGTGACTTGTGAACTTTATTATTCTTTCCATTGTGATTCTGGGGTACTAGATTAGCCGTCCACATTAAAACTCGGCGGGCTATGCTGAGAATAGACTTTGGAAAATGTTCATAAGCAGTGTCGTAGTTTGTTCTGTTGGAGCAAAGAGACATGTGAAGTTCAATACTTCAATTCCTGAAGGGTCAGTGCAAAGATGTGATCTATGGCTTCCGCAGATGTACTTCAGTTCCTGGAGGGTCAGTGCAAAGATGTGATCTATGGTTTCTGCAGCTGTTTGTTAGTCCAATATGTTTACATGTGAAAGGATACCGACGCGTTGGGCATGCCCCACATGAGGAGGAACTGAGTCCTGAGTCAACAAGTAATGTACTTTAAATATGAAGTAGGGACCAAGACATATTGGCTTAGACTTATGGATCAAAGTGGGTCTCAGTTCATATTTAAGGTCCATGTTATCCAAGAGGTCAAAGTTCTATTTTTCAGGAGGAATGTCACGCAAGAAGATCAAGTAAATATCATAAAGAAGGAATGACCACAACTCTAACTTTGTGTATATTCTAAGAGGAGATATGTGTGGAAAGATGGTGGATAAGATGTGGAGTGCTGCTAAAGAAGCAGCAGCAGTGACCACTGGAAGTACAAGGAGTGGCGGACGGTCAGAGGCAACAGCAGTGCTAGAGTTTATACTTCATAAACTGAGGCTATCAAATTGTGTGTGGTATATCGTCCAGTGAGGGAGAAATTGTAGTGTTAGGATGTAGTGTTGAATATATAACCCAGCCACCACAAGAAAAAGAAAAACAGGATGCACTTCAACTGATGGGTTTTCAAATGGGGAAGACTATGTCGTGCAGCTGTAGCCTTGTTGTGCACCAAACACAAAGAGGGGGCCAACTGAAACCATGGGAGGGTTATGAAAAATTGAGAACATGTGACCTAGAAGACGTGGCCGCTGCAATATATTTGGACTGGGATTGGAGGCTGATTGAGGAAATCCAGGAGTTTAACCCCATTTTAAGGGCTCCAAATGCAGTAGTGGACTTCGGATTGCTTTTGATAAATGAAGATCAATGGTGAGGGAGTCTCAATTTAGATAGCATTTGCCAAGCAGTTGATGGTGGCTGATTTTGTAGATGAGGTGAGGTTTCCGGTCTCATATTTGATTGATATAAGTTACTTCCAGAATCCAAACATGTTCTGGTACATGATTTATATAGTCATCGGGTTTGTCTTTAGAGTTGGTCGTGGTTGGATGGAGATGGCGCATGGTATAATGATTGTGGTAGTATAGTGCAAATATGTGCAGTCATCATGATTGGTGGGTTTTTTTTCTCTTGTTAGTTGTTTTACTTTCTGTGCTTGAGTAAGTGAAAAAGGGATCTCCATCCCCAACATTCACGTGTAACAAGATTATTTAATGTTCCATTATTTTTCTACTAGCTTGATTTTCCTCAATCCCGAAACTAGCTATTGATCCATGGAACAAAAGACTAGCTTCAATGATAGTGGAAAATGATTTGACAAGTTTCTACAAGAAGCTTTTAATTATGGGAGAGAGGAAAAAAGGTTCAACTCAAGTATCTATAACATGTACATACCCATTCAATGACGAGAAATAATAACCACCACTCTCTTCCATGACAAGCAACCTTGGTAGTTTCTTCATGCGACAGGTGATTCTTAGTTTATTACGATTCAAAGAAGTTTTTAACGGAGGTCACATTCACAAAAGTGAAGGTAAAAACAAAATCTGGTGTGAAGCTTGGATTGCTCTGTGAGAATGTGGTGTGGGTTTGGGTATCAGTGTGGCATGTCTGTGGGTGGGTGCTTTCTGTGTATGGTTTTTTTGTATTTTTTTCCTTTTTGTTTGTTCTTTATTTTTTGTATATTTATTTATTTATTACTTATTTGTTTATTTTCTTTTTTTTTCTTTTTTTTCTTTTTTCTTTTTTCTTTTTTCTTTTTTCTTTTTTCTTTTTTTTGGGGCGGGGTGTAGATTGCTTTGGATAAGGGTAAATGAAGACTTTTGGAACAATCTTTTGTGCACCAACAAGTTTAAAAGAGACAAGTCATAAAGATAGTTCTTGTGAAGAAGATTTCTTACATGAATCAAAGGCCTTAAATTTAGGCCTATAGGTCCATTGCACTGTCTGTATAGTTGGAGTTTTCCTTCTTTCCAAGCAGAAACTGAGTGCATTTCTAGTTCTTCGTTAGCGAGCATTCTTTCATTCTTCTGCAGCTGCATATAGAGAAAAAAGCTAATAGCATAACAATAAAAATAAAAATAAAAAAAAAGAAAATTTTGCATTGTAGCAAAATGCATGATCTATTAAGAAAAAGAAAACACTCAAAAGAGTAATTAATGAAATAAAATTTCACCCAGTTATTATGGTTGCCTTGAAATACAAACCCGAGAAAATACAACTATGAGATATAACTGACTATTGACAAACTCTCCAAGTGTATGACTGAGAGAGAGGGATAACATTTTATCATAGTTTTAACAGGAATATGAGTTAAAATAATTCAAGCAAACAAATAGTCGAACCTCTTGTAAAATTAATATGAAATCAGAAGCAGTGAGCATCCCCGTTATCGTTGCTCTACTATCATCCCAAATAGGAACAACAGCCAGACCCTGAGAAGGCAAAAGAGTGGTTTGTAGAATAAAATTATACTCCACCCAAGGTATATATAATTTGGAAGAAAATGTGGGTGGAAGGCATGTCAATATAAAAGCAAATTCTCCAACCAATTCAAGTCAAATTAAGAACTACAATCAAAAATGAAATATGCATGTCAGAATCACATGCCAATTGGTGCTCAAGCTTTTAATGACTCAAACTCGAAAAGCAACAACAATTTATTTGACTGCAGATAGAACATTGCAAAAAATCCTGTTGCTTATTGGAGAATTTGCAATTTATTAGGAAATTTTTGATAGATTATGACTAGTTATTCTTCCTGATGCATTTTTTTTAAGAGTGATGCTGACTTTGTTGCGTGATGGTGATGTGCTGGGCATGAGCCCCTCCTTGGCATTTTACCAAAAAAAAGTCAGTTTAACATTTTATTCAGCACACCAGAATTTTGTGAGCAAATGTCAAGTTTTTTCTCACAACGAATGTTCTCTTTAAGTGCTTTTACCTTGCACTTGTTTTTCGAGAACTGCCTATTTTGGGTTCTAAACGCTACAAAATAGTGTAATCTTTTCCATGAGGATAAGATTAGATAATCATGATCACAAAGAGATGTCTCCGGAGTTAGACTCTAATTGAGAAGCCACAATGAAACAAAATATTTCAAAAAGTAAAATAAATGTCATTTGAGAAGAATAAAGCAGAAGAGTGAACTTCAAGAAAGATTTTTATGCCAAAATTTGTGCTAGAAGAAAGTAAAACTACTGAACTATCTGGGGTTGACTGGAATGATCACAGATGTTGTGTTCCGATAAATGACATCCCCGGCCTGGTGAACCTGCAACAAGAATTACCCTTACATGCATCTTTTTGAACTTATTATTAGTTAAGTTCCATTTGTATTCCAAATGGTACAAACTATTCTATTTTCCATGAGGATAAAATAGAATTATCATGAACAGAAAGATGGCTACTTGTCAAGATTCACTCTAATTCGCAAAGGCTCCAATGAAAAAGGTTTACTAAAATTTTACTGCCTTTCTAAATTGCATAAAACATAAGTTATTGGTTAAAAATAACAACCTGAGAGACAAGAACATGATAAACATGAGAGAGACAAATCGGCGGCATGAAAGAAAGTCTCAAGGCTCCTTACAACTGAAGGCATACATATACTAAAAGTTTTCATGTTCTCCAATATATAATGTCAGAAATTAAGTAGGCATGAACTACCATAACTGATCAAGCTCACCAGCTAAGGAACTTAAGGCTCTGTCCATGCTGAATATGAAACATAAAAGCAACTTCAGAAGGCTAAAAGAAACAATTATAGCAGATTTTGCAAATACTATCAAAATTGACCTCTACACTTTGTACTGCCAGATCAGTGAGCCAAAGTATTTACAGCAAGAGAAGGGATGGCTAGCTTGTGTAGTATAGTAAGTCTCAGAACTCTCATAGAAGAAAAGGTGTATGAATGGGCAAACGTAATAAAATTTGCACAAGGGCATCACCTTGAAGTACAATAAAAAAAAAAGGAAAAACAAATTAGCAGACCTGATGAAACTAGTCATTGCTATTGTTACTAATGTTTAAACCTGTTCCCATCATAATGAACGACTAGTGGGCAAGTTGGTAGCTATGTAGATTCCACTTTTTCTGTATTAGTTATGCAGTTTAAAGATGTTCCTGCTTTAACTTTCCAATAACATTTAAGTTCAAAAAAGAATGTATATGACAAATTCATGATGGAGAATTGTGTTCATATCTTAACCATAATGTAATCCAAGAAACCATTCTTGAAAAAGATAGAATTACTAATAAGAGTATACAAATGGATGCTCCAGAGAGCATGGATGTTGCTACCACCTAAATCATAAGATAAACCGATTAAAGAGAGAAACAGCTATGGCTTTCTAGACATAAGGAGATAACGAACATATTCATATGAGCTTCAGAAGCACATGAACAACCAGAAATGGAAAAAAAATCACTTTCCAAAAAATGTTTCTACAAATCTTAACCAGCCACAATGATTAAATTTGACAAATCTATCATTCTATCAATTTTATAGGGATTTATTTCTTATTAAGCAAAACACATAGAGGTGGTACTGAATGCCACAGGAATGTTTGTGCGTAGTGGTTAAGTACCATATGGAATAAAGACTTAGATCTACATGCAGCCCAAAATGAGAAGAAAATCATCGAGTGAACTTTTTCATTTTTCATAAAAGGGTAGCCCAACGCACGAGACTCCCAACATTGTGGGCTCTGGGGAGGGTCAAATGTACATAGCCTTACCCCCGCATGCGAAGAGGCTATTTCCAGGATTTGAACCCATGACCTCCAGGTCACAAGGCAACAACCTTACAGTGGCGCCAAGGCTCACCCTCATCGAGTGATCTTTTTCATATTTATCAGAAAAAACATTGAATAATCAGAAATAATAACTGAAGGGTGATAATAGACTCAGCAAACATACTTCTTCATACATGATATGGAATGCCTGTTTAACAGGAAGCTGAGCACCTACAACGAAGACCTGTAGAGTCAACGGAGCACGTTATCACAAAATGGAGGTGAATTTGTGAATTAAATTGAAGGAAAAGAGAAATATTGTTTGCCTATGAATTTAAAAAAAAAGCCCTCGTTTTTCACACTTAATACCCATTTTGTTAATGTTTAATTTTACATCCCTATCCTGAATAGCAATTTGAGTTTGTACTGTGTGCAGTTATTGAAATAGTTGTTCTGGCCACAGTTCAATTATCGTAAAGACAATATGTTCACCTTGCTCGAGACTGGAAGGATATCATATATAGTTTGATTTGAGAGGATATTGGAAATCCCTCTACGAGAAGTTTGTATCTCTGCATCTGGGATTGGAATCAACGACCCTGGTGGCATGTAGTTCTGTGGTGCCTGATTGTTGCCAAAGAATTATATCACAACAAACAATCAAAACTCATTCAAGTATATCACCAGCCATGCAGAAAAGGAGGAGAGATGAGGACAAATGTTAGGACAAGGATTTACCAAATGTAAAGGAAGGCCATCATTTACATGCATTGTTCCAGATACATAGGGATCGTAGTGAGGGACTGGACTCAAAATGTTTGGCTCCTCTACAAAAATTACATTGTTTACCATTCCATGATCCGCAGGAATAATATATTGTTGTTCATCACAGCGCCAAACACCGTCAACCAAGAATCTATACTGAAATACATCAAAAAGAAAAGAACATTATTGAAAATAGCTGTGATACATAAAGCAACCTGCAAACAATCTAAGTTATAAATATAGAAAAGTCCATATTCTACATTTTTTCTGAATTACTTGAACGTAAAGAAGTATGAAATGCGGCAATTCACAAAAATCATGTGATTGATCCTAGTACTTACAACAGTATAAAATATTATATCCATGTTCTAAATGTTGAAAGATCAAACTATTGATAGCCAAATCATGTTGAACCTACTTAAGCTACAACCAAGAAAAAATAGTCATCAAAAAGAACATTCTAGCAGTATTGCAGTGACTCATGGAAACCAAAATAGATTATGATTTTTTTATGTGCTACTAAATCTGATTTAAAAAGCAGTAGCAAGAACAACCCCAGAGTTCAAGACTTGCATCCAGTATAAATTGTAACTCTGGGTTTCAATTTAATGTCCAGCTTTTGTTTCTTCCACTTCAATTTATACTAAAAACAATAGACCTTTTTTCTCATGGAAGAGGGTGTTTGCATGTTTGTGTTACTTTTGGAGCATCTAATCTTAAGTTTCCACACCCTTTGACATGGAAGATTCCACTTGCAGCAGCAAAATTCACATATTCACACTTTGAGCATGCACTTGTATCCAAGGCCAAGAACATGAAACATTCTTGATTGCGCAACCCAAAGCTCGAACCAACCCAACCATTGAAATGTAAATGGTTTACCTAACAATGTCCTGAAAACCCTCACCACAATTATAAAAAAGTGGGGCTGGAGGTATGTGGGTATATGAGAGAGAGAGAGAGAGAGAGAAGCAGGCACAGATGCGCACATAGTAACATGAACCTGCACGTGCATGTATGATTGTGACGTGCATGTATGATTGTGTGCACACACACAAACAGAAGTGCACGTACATATGTTTCTTGCAAGAAGTCTATGGTTAAGGAATTGTAAGTACTTTCTCTTCCTCTATCTTTCTCTTTCCACAGCAGCCACAGAAAACATTATAGGCTGAAGCCAACATGAAATCTGAGCACCGATATAGAAGGAGGTGCAATCCACCTTCTCATGGTATGAGTTGGATGTCAAACATCAATTAGCCATCACGCACTACAATCTTTTCCTATCAGAATGGTATTCACCATGGAACACAACATGAACTCAAAAAAAGGAAAATTTCATGAGATACTAAACCCCTATGAATTGACATCAAATTCAAGGTCAAAGGAACCACAGGCAAGATCCTGCCATAAAGTCGTATAACGCCCATTGACAGGTAGGAAGATTAATTTCTTTTTGTTTGCCCTTTAAGCATGTGCAACCAAGGAATCATCAATAAAGATACCCTAGACCGGGAAAAGAGCCTGTGATAAAACAAAGATCAAACGAAAGAGATGTTGATGGGAATCCATAGAGTATATTCCAGGAGAAAGAAACGTGTGATTGATTCTGGAGGATATTGATTGACTTTGGAGGATATATGGATTGATTCTCCATATATTTGTCATGATCTCAGATATTTTAATTGATAGGGTATCATATTAGTTTCTATTTTTGCTAAGATTTGAACGTGATTTAGGGATTTGATTTGATTTTGGTATGGTTATAAATAATAATGTAAGGCCTCAGTGATAGGCAGACTATTTTGATATGATATTTCTGAGTTTTTAAATTAGCATGTGAATTCCTATGAGGATGTGAAGCCCGGGTGTGAAGCCTATTTTATTGTTCTAATCAAATCACAGTCTTTCGTTATACCCTCAACTTATATCCAACCCTCCACTCAAATAAAACCCTACCTCAATTCAAAACATCGCTGTCACTATTTATGTGAACAGTAACCCACAACTGTTCGCATCCAGTGCTGACCACTGTTCACGCGATCTTCTTCCACCTTCTTCGACACCTGCTCCGGTTATTGTTCAAGCCTTGCATTTGACTACTGATCACGTGAACACTGTCTCTAACGGAATTTTCAAAGCCCTAAACTTCCTAAACATATTTAATTGCGAGATTATTTCAGATCTAAGTTGATTGCTTTGTGGATTAATTGTCTCTTTGCTTATAGGTGTGTGGTAAACTCAAATCCAAGTTGTTGAGGTCTAGTTGATTCTTCAATTTCGTGGATTAGTTTACCAAGTTTGTAACAGAGCCTTTCAACTCAGTCCTGATTCGGATCTTTAATGATTTGGGTGTTAGTTCCTTACACACCTCAAGTGAACTCTAAACAGTGTATCAATTTCCTATTGATTATCTTGCAATCTCTTGAGAGTTGTAGGGAATTTATAATTATATTGAGTATTGATACTATTGTGATTCCTTGCATGATTCATCACCATTATCGTTTTAGGGTTGCACTACATCTTTAGTTATTTGCTGGTTAGTTTGCATTTGCATTCAGTGCATGCACGTAGCTCACTTTAAGGACCTCCATCTGTGTGATTGCTTGTCTTATTTGCATTCGTGTCCTCCCGTGTCCTGTCCTGCGTCAGATGTTCTAGGGAATCACATCATCTTTAAGGTATAATGCAAGTCAATGAATCAAATGTAGTCACTTTACAATTCATAATGATTATATCACCATTCATAATGATTATAATTATATGCTCTTGAATTACTTTCTTCGCATGCTCAAATGCAATCATAGCAATATAAATGGAAATCAAAAAGAAATACAGTAAAGAAAGTTAAAGAGCCTAAACTTAAAAATATAAATCATGGAGTATCAAGGAATATTACATGGGATATCAAGGAATATTACATGGCATAAAAACAATTTGCACAGAAGGAGGACTCTTTCTCAATTGCAATACCAAATTCCTCCGCCTCCAGCCCCGTCTCATTCTAACCCATCACTTTCTCTCTCCTTCCTCCCCTCATCACCAATTACCAATATAAGACGTCTTATGCGTACAGATTAAGCAAGAACTTCAACTAGTAAGTGTTGACTACTTTCCCAACTTACAATCTCCAATCGTGAAATTGGAGTCAGTTCTAGCTTCTCTATCCATACTATAAATAACTAGCCTTCCTTTTTTGTACAATGAACCAAATCCCACAAATCTTTTCCTGCATTCTCCAACACCCTTTTCCTTGATCCAAATTGATCATGGCAACCCTCACCCACCCCAACCCCCACCCCAACCAAATCCCAGGCACTCCATCCAATATCAAGTTTAAAATTGAAAAAGAAAAAAGAACTCCTAGATTTCTGTTCGCATGACAATATCAATCAAAACCTCCTTCCATGGTACCAAAACCTACCACTTGCACTTCCCCCATCCATCAGATCCACTGACTTTTAAGCTGTCACATCTGGAAAGGCAAGTCTCTCCACTTTATTCATTCCAAAAACAACTAGATGCTACCTCAGCATCCTGAATTTTCAAATTAGAACCTCACCAGGAATAATACTCTGTTGGATGATTCCCAACTACATCTCCTAAATGAAGTGGCTGGGATGATCCTTATTGGTTCCCACCTTTGTTCTCAAAAAAAATTTCCCAACTATTTCTTGGATTATAAATGTCAAACGTCTCAATTTTCATTTTCTCGGCAGAAGTGACATAAGTTCGTTTTGAATATTTAACACAAAGGGAAAACAAAGTTGTGTTCCTTTTCTCTTATATAACTTTGTATAAAATTCCACAGCAAATGACTACCCTTTCTAGTGTAAAAACTATTGCCACAGTATTTATTGAGCCCTCTAACAAGTAACATATAAGATCAAAGGAAATTTTAATATGCGCTTTAGTGTCAGGTCCCAAGCCTTGGGCTTACATTTGCAAGGGGAAATAAAGTATGAAAGTACTAGATTTCCAAAATGTATTGATAAAAGTTTGATGAGTGCTGCAAGTCTAACCACTGAAAACTATTCAAAAAAACCATAAATAAAAATGCTTCTACTAAAAAAGTAATCAGTTAGTCCCTACATCCTTGATGTAGATTCGGCCTTGAACATACTTTTGTCTACTGCATCTTCTAAATTTCAAAAGCCATCACTACAATATTAGCAGCTCTCTCACATACAAAGTGTCATGAAAAACAAATTCTCCTTCTAATCGATAGGAAAATGCCCATTAGTAGCATGTCAATCATTTCCATAGGGACTTCCCAAATTTAGTGTTTAAATTGCAATAAATAGAAACCATGAGGGGGCATGGGAGCCAACATGAGTGATTCTATTAATTTAAACCACAGTGTGTGTGCTTTAGCTGCCTTTCTAAAGCATTTGCAAATTGAAATGCACATATCACTCAAATGGAACTTAATGTAATGCTTAAAAACCTTTCACCGCCCCCACCCCACACACACAACCACCACCACCACCACCCCCAAAAAAATATTGATAACATATTTCTACTGTTTATAGATAATTGATTCCAACTGAATTTTATTCAAAACTAGGACAAGAACAAAGAGGAAAACAATACGAAAATACAAAATAACTCAAGCTTTCAACATAAAATATCCTTGCATTACCCAAAAAGATGCCAAGAAATTCGAGTAACTTGATTATACTTAAACTACTCCCAAAATGAACAGTCTTACCTCTCACATCATATGCAACCTAAGTTGCATATATACGGGTATGGACATGAAACATGGTAAATTTATAAACAGTGGAGTATAGGACATGATTGAAACACAAAGGCTGAAATCATAGCTTTGGGTTAGATCTACAAAGGACCCCTTGAATTGTAATTTTGAACTGAATACTCAGCGCTTGTCCAACAAGTTTCAAAAAGAGGATGTGAGATGTAGGATATACGTCCAAGAAGTGTATGATGAGTGTTTTAAATTAGAACATGCATTGTATAACCGATTACACTTCTGAAAAAAATGCATGCATATATCCAAGAGTGTCTGAGAAGTGTTGGCGTCAGTGTCAGGTACGGATACGTGATGTGTAGAGTACGAATACAGCTTCATGATAGAAGTACCCACGCAACGTAGCATGCAACTATATAGCTGACGTTTTTAACCCCCCAGATACTTCTTTATTTATTTAAAATGCCATATTCTCAAAAAAAATCTGAATGGTTGCTCCTTTAAGTAAAGAAGTAACCATTCAGAGAATGTGGCAGTTTAAATAAGTGGTTACTTCTTTACTTATTTAAACTGTCGTATTCTCAAATTAAGGCAGGAAACCAATGAAAATCACCAAAGAAACTTGTATGAGCCTAACGAAATTCCGACATTCACTGGCAGAAGAAGATTGCTGAGGACATCTTTCTAAAACCAAGTCATGCCTGGTGCTCTTTAAATGAACACTCTTAACTCTGAGCTTACACTCAAGTGATAAATATTATATTTTTGGTCCAACTTTTGAACTTCTACGACCTCCACCAGTCATTGACTATAACTACCCCAAGCCCCAAGTAATAAGCCTCTTCTAGTGATTCCAAATGCAATCTGAGGTGACATAAAGACATAAATTAAATTCAGATTAAAACTCTTATATCCTCATAACACACTATCAAAGCACTGAACCAAACAAACATCAACTGGAATAACTTCGGTTTAACCCAAATATATGCAAAACTAGGATAGGAGCAAAGAAGGAAACAATAATAAATTACAAAATAAAACAAAATTTTCAACATAAAATGGATGACGAAATAACTCGGATTTGACCCCCTAATAGTATACCTTAAAGGCTTACACTTCCCCTACAACTGGCGCTCTTACCTCTCAGCTCACATGCAACTGCATAACATGAGATCTTTAATCTTGAATTTTAAACCTTTAAATTACACTTAACAAAAGTTTGCTAAACGGTTATTTCTTTACTTATTTAACCTGCCATCTTCTCAAATTAAGGCAGGAACTCAACAGAAAATCACCCCCCGGAAAAAATCGAACAAACCTAAATTCCAACATACATTGCCTTAAGAAGATTGTATAAAGGAAACCCATTTAAAACCAATCCATGCCTTCTGCCGCTCTTTAGATGGACGTTCTCTACTCCGAGCTTGCTTACATGCAAGTGATAAAAATTAGACATTTGGTCTAAAGTTTGAAGTTTTAGGACCCTCCACCAGTCTTTGATTCCATAACTACTCCAAGTACTAAGCCAATCCTAGCGATTTCAACTATAACATTACAACACTACCGAATCAAGCAAGCATCAATTTTAAGAAAAATCGTAGTTTCAAGCATCCACCTGATGAAACCCTAGCTGGAGATCACAAATCGTCTGGAAAACCGACGGCGAGCCCTCCACAACGGCCATCGGATAATGCTCCAGCCAGCTAAAACCCCAAAACAAAAATCCGATCAAAAACCCAACTTGGCCTCAAATTTCACCAAGAAAAGAAATTTCCAGCCTCAAACCTCGAGAAAGAACCGCAGAGGAAGACCTGGCGACCTCCGTACCGCCATTGAAACCTCGTGAGAACCATCCCAGAGCTCGAGCCGATCGCTGAAACCCTAGATTCTCGGCCTCAGCTGAAGCGGGAAGGAGTCAAGTGAGGGATTGGGGGCAGATTTGAGAGGAATTGATGAGGTTTCCGCTTATGGAAGCAAGAGGGAGTTCATTTTTGGGAGGAGAGAGAAAGTGAAGAGTTATATAGAAGTCTCCGCCGGTGAGTTTGATGGTGGTGGAGGGAACGATCCATGGTGAAATGGCGCGGTAAAAAAAATAAATAATAATGATGATGGAATTAATTAGGAAAGTGTAGGGGTTAAACTTAAAGATGGGGTTATCTTTTGAGGGCTTTTACCGCGGGGTAAAAAAAAACCCATTTTTAAGCTGGTTTGATGGGGGCCATGGGGCTTAGGGGTTTGGGTTTGGCTACTAGGGTAAGGGGCTTGGGCTCCTTATTATTGAGAGAAGTTGGGTTGGGATTGTTTAGATCTAGCCGTTCAATTTGATGGTAATGGTTATCGGGATGCGTGACATCAGTTATGCAAATGGACGGGAGGTAGACTGTACGTGGGCGATGGAGTCAAACTGAGAGGTACTTGCCTCGTGGGTGCATCGATGAGAGTGTTACTCTTTCACTGAAAGATTTGCTACAAGATAGTTTTTTCATGCAAATAATTTTTTTTTTTGGAGAAGATTTGTTTTTCCCTTCTTTGATTTTGATAAGTTATTTAGGCATTTGGATCTATTGTTTAGTAGGTCGGTGACGATCAATACGGTGCATCTAAATGATTACGCATGTAGCAAAATATGTTGACGTATATGGAATTGAATAGGAAAGAAACTACATGTGTATTCATGATGGTCACAAAAGAGACTTGGTTTGGAAAGTTTTAGACATGATTGTTCAATTTGATGATTATGGTTATTAGAACTTGTGAGGTCAATTGTGCAAACAGACATAGAGTAGGCAGTACGTGGCAACGGAGTCAGGGTGAAAACCTACCTCGTGGATGCATCGATGAGTGATTTATTTTTCATTTGGAAAGATATGATGCAAGATTTACTTTTCATGCAAGGTTTTTTTTTTCTTTCTTTTTTTTAATAGGAAGCTCTTTTCTTCTTTGTTTTGTGTAAGTTAATACTATTCACTTGGATCTAGTCATTTGATGTGTGGTCGTATTCTATGGTGCATCTAATTGGTCATGTATATAACCAACTAGTGTTATACCCATGTTATTGTTGGGTATCAACTCAAACTCCAAGTTAGTATAATATTTTTAATTCTTTATAGAACTTCATGAGAATTGGATAGGGTCATAGATCTATCATGATTAGGAGTTTGAATCTTATTCTAATTAGGAAGTTAGGCTAGAGATAGGGTTTTGGTCGAGGGATGATATGTTGGGTATCAACTCAAACTCCAAGTTAGTATAATATTTTTAATTCTTTATAGAACTTCATGAGAATTGGATAGGGTCATAGATCTATCATGATTAGGAGTTTGAATCTTATTCTAATTAGGAAGTTAGGCTAGAGATAGGGTTTTGGTTTCCCTATATATATGTTCTTCTATTGTTAGAGGAAAAACTAAGAAGAAGAAGTGTAGAGAGAAGGAGTGTGAGAGGGTTTGACAGTTTTTGTCCGTGCAAAAAATTATAATTTGGAGGTGATAGTGGATTGATTTTGATCATGTGGTTTTTCCCTGTTGAGGGTTTTCCATGTTAAATCTTACGTGATTTTATTTGTTACGTTTGATGGCTTTTCGGGGTTTTTACGAGATCTAAAAAATCCATACAAGTGGTATCAGAGCGGGTTCGACGGTTCGTAGAGGTTTGATCGGTGTGCGATTCGTGAAGGCGTCAGCGGTCGAAGCGCGGTGATCGACATTGGGAAAACAAAAAGGTCACTGTATCAATGACATTGTAGCGGGAATACTGTAGCGGGCACTGTTAACGGAGATCCAACTGTTGAGGTTGATTTGTCTTTTGATCGAGGATTTGGAGGCGTATTTTTGTGATCCATGAGTCGTTCCTAGGTTTTTTCGACGTGCTGAATTCGTTTTTACCGTCAGTTTTATCAAATTCAATCTCTACAATGACTGATTTGAATTTCGATTGTGATTAGAGGATGATAACTTCTTTGGGTCCGAAGTTTGATATTCCGCTATTCAATGGCAAGACAAATTTTGTAGTATGGCAGTGCACGGTTCAAGATATTCTTGTGCAGCAGGGTGTTGATCAAGCTTTAGAGGATAAGAAACCTAAAGGATTGAAGAATGTTGAATGAAGTTCTATGCAAAAGAGGGTGGTTAGCCCAATTCGTTTGGTACTCGCCCCCGAGATCAAGTACAATGTTATGCAAGAGACCACAACAAGAGGGCTTTGGGAAAGGCTCGAGGGGATTCATGCGCCAAAGTCGATGACCAACCGATTGTGTTTGAGGATGGAGCTTTATTCATTAAAGATGGAAGAATATACTATAATTCAAGACCACATTAATGTCTTTAATCAGCTAGTTTGTCAACTTATGAATATAGATGAGGAGATTAAAGAAGAAGAGCATGCGCTACTCCTATTGTCTTCCTTGCCGAAGTCATACAAGTCGTTAGTTCAGACGATAATTGTAGGGAAGCAGACTTTAAAGTTCGACGATGTGACAACACTCCTACGTGAGAATGAAAGAATGATGGGAAAGGAGAGCGCATCTAATGGTGGGGAGAGTGCGCTAGCTTTTAAAGGTTCTAATCGAGGGAGGAGTACGGGGAGATGTGACAGTTATTGAGGAAGGTCAAAATCTCGGGCCCGAGACGACAGCGAAAAAGAGTGTTATTTTTGCGGAGAGAAGGGTCACATTCAGTTCAGATGTTCCCAGATGTGTGATAATTTGAAGAGTATTAGACACATGAAGCTTCAAGAAAATAGGAAGAAGGCGGACTCCTCGGTGGTTGTGTGTGATAAAGATATGGTTTTATTGATGCAGAGTACATGTACTGATGCGAGTAACACTTGGTGTTAGATTCTACAGCCTCTATGCACGTTTGCAACAACAAAAATTATTTTAACACATTGAATATAAATGAAGAATTTGATAACATGATTGTTGGAAACAACGAGAAGATGAAGGTTGAAGGTGTTGGAAGTGTTCGCCTCAAGCTTCACAGTTGGAAACAACGAGAAGATGAAGGTTGAAGGTGTTGGAAGTGTTCGCCTCAAGCTTCACACTGGGAAGGTCGGAATTCTTTGTTGGAAGTGTTCGCCTCAAGCTTCACACTGGGAAGGTCGGAATTCTTCATCATGTGAGATATGTACCGTCATGTGATGCTAATTTAATTTTATTGGGTGAGATGGCATCATGTGGGTACAAGTATGTGGGTGAAGGAGAGTGGTGCAAAATGTATAGAGATGGTGATTTGATTTTACAATGGAGGAAGAATAGCAACCATATTTTCTATTTAGATGGGCAATTCATTAATAGTGTAGATTACTCTTCTCAGACTCTTGTCCACAAGGGAGAGATGAAGAAGAAGAAGAAGAAAGAGAGCTTTTCTGAAGCCGTTGAGACACTTGGAGATTTTCGTCAATGGAGGATATGTTGGGTATCAACTCAAACTCCAAGTTAGTATATTGTGTTTAATTCTTTGTAGAACTTCATGAGAATTAGATAGGGTTAGAGATCTATCATGATTAGGAGTTTGGGTTCCATCATGATTAGGAGTTTGAATCTTATTCTAATTAGGAAGTTAGACTAGAGGTAGGGTTTTGGTTTCCCTATATATATGTCTTTCTATTGTTAGAGAAAAAACTAAGAAGAAGAAGTGTAGAGAGAAAGAGAGAGAGGGTTTGACAGTCTTTGTCCGTGCAAAAGATTGTAATTTGAAGTTGATAGTGGATTGATTTTAATCCCGTGGTTTTTTCCTATTGAGGGTTCTCCACGTTAAATCTTGCGTGATTTTATTTGTTGCGTTTGGTGGCTTTTCAGGGTTTTTACGAGATCTAAAAAATCCCTACAGTTATGTTGTGGGATTTTCTGTTTTTCAAAATAGATGATGTTTGATTCGTAATAGATATATGAGTACTATTACCCCCCATAAGTTCATTGATAACTTTGTTTATTTTGGATGTAATAGAGCTCGGTTTATTAAAGTACACGTTAAGCAATACAAACACTAAAAATAGAAGTAACTTAATTAGTGGTCGATACAAAAATAAAAATCACGACTGATTGTTTCGCCAGCTTCTTCCGTGTTTCTAAATTTACAACAAATTAGATAGATTAGATCTGAGCCGTCAAAAAATTTATACAGAACAGGACAAATAAGATATAAAGTAATTGTTAGGATTTGCTTAAGATTTAAGACTCATTTATTTCCAATCGAAAGTGTGATCAGATTAGGCCTTTCGCGGTTATGCTGCCGCCTGACTTGGGTCTCCTCAATTCAACTGTCGCTCCTCTTCAGTTGTACTCTTCGGTGTGCAAAAAGAATTATGCATGCAAATGAGAAAAAAACAAAATTCAATTAAGAGACCCTTAATTTTATTATATTACATTAAATATATATAATATGCTTACGTGGTGAACACGTATCCTACTATCAGTGTACTTGGCTCATAGCCGTAACATCCTCAACTAAAAGGTAACAAAATGAGAGGGTGATGTTTCATCAATTAATAGTTATTCAACTCTTGAAGTGTGGCTAATATAGTAGCATTATTTTAGGAAGTGAATATTAAAAAAATTTACTTTCATTTAGAGGAGTGCTATGCAATATATTTAATATATTATGCATGAGCTTCATCAAGGGAAAGAAAAGAAAATGGCTATTGTTATGGTGTTTCTGGTCGTCAAATAATAGCATTTTGCCAGCAACGGACATGTGTCCTTCTACATGCTGATTGCGGCCAAGTCCACCAAGGATCTCGACTTAGTCGACCCGCCGAGTCGACATCCCCTTAGGACGACCCGAAGGGCGTACTTGTCAGTCCTCTTGTCGAAGACGACTCGCTACGAGCCCACTCGACCAATTACTTGCACTTTGCGAGGTCGACTCGAGAGGCGTACTTCTCAGCCAAGCCACAGGATGACTTCAACCTTGAAGCTCTCCCACTGACAACGTGTCAGCATCGCATTTAATGCTTGGTAGGCGCTATCATGCCTCTAGCCCTGATAGCCTTCATGACTCATCGGACTATGTCGGCACCGTCATGCGTCCGATCACTTCTCATTTAATGCTGAGGTGATCCGTCCTCCACTCACCGAGCAACACGTGTGAAGTA